GTGTTTTCAAAAATTATGCCTGTTACAAACCCAAATACTGAAACTGACATTTAGTTACTAACAATTTTCTTATATTATTTGTATGCCAAAATAGTTGATAGTTTTCGCCATCACAAACTTTATGCTTCCCGAGTGTAAGCTAAGAAAATATTGAAATAGGATCCATCAGATGAATGGTTACTTTTATGTGTTTTCAACGTTTCATGGCCCCCAGTGTACGGAAAATGTCCGTCTGTCACCGAGATTGTAATGACCTCACCTCAAAATTTTGCTTCATAAAATAAATATATATCTTGTGGTGACTGACGATCAAATTAAGACGGTTCATTTTATTTCAGAAATTTTAAGAATACGGTAATGTTCTTATTGGCTTGACATTCCACGTAATCAAGTTGATGAAGGACGTCATCCCAAAATTTTGTTATAAAGAAACTCACTTGAAACGTACGCATAACATGATTATTTATCTGTACTTTAACAGTCTACATATATTTCATTTAAATCAAAGGGGCTCTAATAAAAAAAATCAACTCGAAAAATCAATTTTTTCAATTTTTCGAAGAAGCTAGATTTATTAACGGTGAGGGAATTCATGTCTCAATAACTTTAGATCAATTTCTTTTATTTCTTTTATATATACAATTTCAAATACGTGTTGTAGTAAAATTTAGTATCGCTTAATATGTTTTTTCTAAGTAAACTAAATGAAATTAGATTCTGGCTAACCATATGATGAATTATGAAAGAATTATTTTTTGCCATAAAAGTGTGTTGATATTCATTTTTGTTCTAACCATGTTTATCCCAAGTGGTTGATATTGTATGTGTGTACTTGAAAATATGAATAGCAAAATATTTGAGTTACGTCGACTTGCTCCAGTCCTACCTCATCTTCCCACTTCTACATATTTTAGAACTGATGCTATAATACGAGAAAGCTCCATCTCAGTTTCCACTAAAAGCATGGATTTTCTGTTTACAAATGATCTTGAAGCTGACCTCACTCTTGTTATATTTTGAGTAACTAATTATTATTTGCGACGTATTCCGAAATGTGAAAGATGTATGTATAAAGTTATATTTATGACTAAATATGTAAAATTATTTAGATTAAACGTTCATCGCTTCTAAAGTACAACCCCGATTTTGTTGTATGTCCGGAGGGTAGGATCCACAGTACATAACTTTCCAAATTTTTCTTTTTTACTTTCCGACCGTAAGCTACGGAAGGTATTGTATTAGGCTGACGAATGGTAAATTTTATGTTTTCTCGACATTTTACAACTTCTAGAACATGAAAAGTAGATCTCCTGTTGCCATTCGTTTGTCTATCTGCCTATCTATGAAACTATCGGACAAATTGTTCGAAAATTATAAACGTACTCAGGTTTTAAGGATGTCTAGTATAAAATGTGTGTGTTCATCTACACCAAAAGAGTGACGACATCAACTCAAAATTTTACCAAGTAAATTCTATTTAAAATAAGCAAAATAATATAGCACTCTACTTGTGACTGACAAAATGATAAAATTAATTCAAAAATGTACAACAAAATTTTGCAGTTTAACATAGAAATTAAAATATTGCTCCAAAATTTTACACACTTTCTTTTGAAATTTTCAAAAAAAAGTAAGCTCCGGTTTACTCATTTTTAGAATAATTTATAGAAACTCTAAAAAATATCTAACTCATTTTCCTAAAGTTTTAGGAACACAGTGCTGTTGTTGTTGACATTACACTCCACCTACTTATGTAAATTAGTACATTTAGTATTTGTTGTATCCAAAAAATCATACGCGTAGCATGTTGCTTTACCTATAGTTATACTTAGTCTACTCCTCTTGGTGTTTTAATTTATAGGATTATAATAGCAAAAAATAACATTCGCAGATTGAAGTTTTAGGGTTTATCTAAGAAATTGAACGTTTTTTGATTCATTGTGCTGCTGGAGCTAAAGAAGTTCTATCTTTGAATATCTTTCAACCAATTTTTCTTATCGTCTTTATCCACTAAGAGTATCATTTTTGAGAAACTTTGAAAACAAACAAGTTTTACTTATGTAAATAGGTTTGTACATGCTTTTGTGTATTTTATTAAATACTCTATATTTTTTTACAATATATAGCCGGGTTAACATTCTACTAGTGAAAGACGCCTTAGATGACAAATTATTTATGACTATAACTCGAGGCAATTCTGGAGTGATATTATTTCAACATAGATTTATTTACCATGCTGAATAAATGATTAATTAATTACAAAAAAAGAAGTAGACTATAACCTGTTAGGATCAGTGTTTTAAAACATTTACTTCAAAAAATTGCTTCCCGCTTGAAGTAGCATAACACTGTCAATTTTTTTCAAAGAACTTCTACTTCCCTTCTTGGAAACTCTGCAGACAATACAAAAAATCTAAAGCGGAAGGATGGGATGTTTAATATTGTAGCTGAAAGTTGCAAAGATAATTTATTAGTCAGTAAGAAAAGTATCACGAGTAATATTTTATGAGGCATTGCGAACAGATTCCTATTATAGAGAGTAGTTCAACCTCGTCTCTTATTTCATTATTTCTATTTAATTTTAATATTACTTGCTTAGAATCAGTAAAATTTGTTACAAATTATTGGTAACTGGTTTTTATTCCTTTCATCACCCTAATCCACGTTTCACCATATTTTGAACTGATGATGTAAGATAGTTAAAAAAAAATACGTTTACGTATCATCAAAAAGTGTGCAAACTGAGACTTTCTAATGAAATTGGACAGAATACACAAGAAATGAGAATTAAAAATGTTATGTTTGCCAAGCAAACATGCAAAAGTTAATTTTCCGACAAACAGAAATGACTTTTTAAAATTGAAGTGTTATGTCTGTTATGGCGTCCTCTAAAATCGTGCCTCGCCAAAGACCCTATTTATAAAAACTTATCTTGTCTGGGCAAAACAGCCTGAAAGAATGACCCACATCACTTGCGGATCGGCAATAAATGAATGCAATTTAGTATTGTCTGATGATGATTTTAATATTTATGATACCTCGGGGCACAATGACGCTGGAGTACTCCATAACACTCTGCCTAAAATCAGAGGATTATTCTTAGCTGAAACTGGAAATTAATTACGTATGTATGTGAATAATCCCCAGGCCGTTGTAACAAGATAACTTCGTTTACGCCCTTCAAATTACAGTCCATGGTTCGCTTTATAAAATATAATGATGTAACGATTCAGTTCAAAAGAGTTATGATATTCTAATAAGCTCCATTATCACAAAGCTAATGAAAATAATTACACTAAATAGTAGGACTGTCAAATAACGACATAATTTACTAAATTCCACATCAGTTATTACAATTTTGATGATTACACAACTTCAACGAGAATAACAACAACAGTTTTAGACATTGTTACCCTGGACTCGGTATATGCATGCAATTACTACACTTGCATCACTAAAATAAAACTACCCTTTGAAATCTCTGTAAATTGTTATGCTTTGTTTACCACTTATAAAATAATTAAATTGCTGTTGATTTCATCTAGTTTCATTTAAATGGAAATAAATGGAACTAAAATAGAAACAAGGGACAACGAGAGCATCAACTAGAAACAAGCGTTTCATCAATGTTCATTATAGCTGCTGTTTGTCACAGTTAAAGATTAATAATGTAAGATGACTCGACAAAAGTTATAATTTATTTCAAGCTTTCAAAGCTACTCCAACTAACATCATTACCATTCCATTTACAAGTGGACCAAAATAACGCCCAGCTTTTTGTACCCATTTCAGCATGGATAATTCACAAAATGTGGACCTTGCTGACTTGAAATGTTAGATTAATAATGTAATGTTGGTTGAAAATTATCGCACGGAAGTAGCAAAGTTTAATTTATCTATTTATCGTCTCCAAAAGGCAAACCAGAACGGAAACGTGTAGTTTTACATTATAAATGATAACACATCTATAGTCATTTAAATACTTAAAATTAAACTACCTTTATACAAAATGCTCACAAGTGTACACACATCATGTTACCGATTTATGTACACTGCAAACTAACAAAATAGAGGGAATGGTAGTGCAATCGTCTTACTATCAATTAACACAATGATTTAGCAAAGCCTAGTAGAATGAATTATATTAATTAAAAAAAAAAATCCACTTTTTAGGTTACATGTGTTCGATTCTTACAGTGCGGTCTAAAACAGTGTAACAAATGAATTTATTTGTACTAGTTTTCTAGGATTTGATATTCATATGGTACATAAATTAATTTAGTCAGTTTTTTCATTCGAATTTGATGTGATTATTACCCTCCAGGTGCATACAAAACCGCATTCACAAGTGCGACGCTTCCGGTTATTAATTAATTAGTTGTATGTTGCAACAGTAATTAAAAACAAAAAAAATCTGACAAAGTGAGATCCTCTTTGATGTTGAATTTTACTCTCCAGGGAAATTTTATCTCGTCTTGAACTTCGTCCCATGTAATACAAGCATGAAATAATTGTTGAGAGCGTATAGTAAAATCCTGTTAATGTTAGATAAATACTTTTTGCTTCAAACGCATACGAAATTACCTTCTAAAGCTAAGGAAAAACTACAAAAAAATAATAAAATTATTTACAATATGATGGTAAAAATTTTCTGTTAGTCGAAGCGAAAATCCTTTTGTTAAAATTTTTTCAAAGAAGTATCTGTGTTCTATCTAACACTTGTGAAAAAACATCATAAATAATTGCTTTGTTATTTTGTAATTAAAAATTCTGCATATAATTATTTTTATTCGAGCGAAAACAGTATATTTTTCGTAAAAGTAAACATCCTATTAACTGTGAATTTTTTATTTCGAAATAAGTATATTGTTTTTGTTAAAGCAAGAAACCGTTGTTTTACGAAGACCAGTAAATAAGAGAATCGTATCTGGCATTTAATTTAGTGTTGTTAAAAAAATGGCAAGTCTGCGATTAACATTTAATGTAATGTCTTTTTATAGGGTCCGGACGACAGAACACAAGGACGGGGAATGCAGAAAGTGGAACCCATCCTCATGAAAAAGTAAATAAAATACGTTAACGCAAAAAACTTATCTGGCCGCAAAGCCCCATTCATTATCCGAAATACCAGCAAGGTGAACATGGGAAGTACCGATCCTCGGAGAGTGACCGTATTTTGGAAAGTTTCAACTTTACAACATGAAAGGCGCGTTCTCAAACCAGTGCTCAACAACAGATGTCAGCGGAACTCGAAGGGTGTTTCCATTGTGAATACTAAGCGAAATCAGCCGCTTTTATAGATCCTAAAAGTTTTCTCAACCGACAGAACACCCCTTGTTTATAGGCTGTGCGTGTTTTTAAAGTAAGTGAACCGATTTTTTCGCAGATCCTTTTCTTTGTGTTTTGTTAGGCTCGATTGTTTTTGTGTCATATTTCACCGAGCCAACTCGAAAGGAACACAGCGTATACCACACCTATCTGTACTTCTTCTCGTTTTATACAATTGTTACTGGAAGCTCTGTCTTTATTCATCGTTATCGAAACTTTTAAAATCGATTCGGTTGATGTATGAGTGCGGCTGCAACAAACAACGCGAAACTAAATTTGACTTTATTGGTAATGACTTTAGTTGTTTCACAGTGGATTGGTTCAATATGGTTCAGTGTGGCAGCAGCGGCGCCCTCTCAAGCATAAATATTATTTTTGATAAAGATAAATTTGGGATTTAGAGGATTCTCGGTAAACTCAAAGGGAACTTTATTCCAGACGTTTCTTAGTTTAAAGCTTTGTCTCGGGTACTTCTAATCGCATTGTTTGAAACTTTACTTGTATTCAAATAATGCCAGAGTTTCCTACATCAACAACTCATGTAAGGTTCCGAGAACAACACCGATGGCAGCAGGTTAATTAAACTTGCCAGTTTATAGCTGAAGTTCTGTTATGTAGTATGGAATGCTACTGAAGTGTAAAAAGTTGTCATTTTAAACTCAAATAATATCATGGAATCAATTAAATTTGAACTTCACTGTGAAATTTAAACCAGCAAACACCAAACAAATACCATAAATGTCACTGAACTATAACCTAAATTAAATTTATTTTACCCTACAAAACCGACAACGCGAACGTTTATACATCAGCGGCTTAATACCACTAAAATTTAAATAAAATTGATTTAAAGAATAATAATTAGTTTCTCATTTTTTTAAGTTCTTGAAAATTAATAACAAATTAAATTTCATCAATATTTTCAATCCTACTACTCTTCTCACTCCTCAAGCTCCACCAACTCTGCGACATCTCGCTCGCAAGGCGAACTCTAGTTATTGAGTACCTAAGTATATCTGAGATTGATTTGTGGATTTTCCTCTTGCTATAAATTCATTGTACACACATAGTCGTCACTCGCTTTGTTGACTCCATTTGCTTTTTTGCCCAAAAGTTTATACAAGTTTTCGGTAGGTATTTCATTCATTAAATTTGTCTGTGAAAGAACTGTCAACTCCGTTTGATCCACCTACTTTGTGTATAAATTCTAGCTCGCTTCACTCGCAGCATTTATTAATTTTGGTTTTTAAACTTTTTCGATTTTGAGTCTTAACATTTCAGTTATAAAACTTCATGAATAAACATGTTTCCGTTTAGCAGGTCGTGCGTGAGAAAAAATTTACACAGTAAGATTTTATACTAAATACGGATTAAAATAGATTTTAGTGCTACAAGAACAAGTAGATTTGTAAGTTTTATCTATTTTCTGAACTTAAAAATCTTGAGTTTTCAAGGAAACATAACTGTTTCCACTTTCAGCCATTTAATTCTTCTTCTTTTTATAATTTAATTTTTATATGATCACGTTTGTGTTCAACACTTCACATCAGAGGATTGTCTCCTGCAAATTTCATTTATGCACAACAGTATCGAAAATTTTATTTTACGCCCACGTTCTGTAAAAATTTGCTCAGCGGGCTGTAAAAAGTAATAAAGCCCGTGGGCCGTAAAATAATGATGGAAAACGCTTGCTTGAAAAAATAAGAACTAAGTATTTTTGGTTAACACAATTTATTATTAATAACTAAAGTCCATTTTGAAACATTTATTTGATGACAATGAACCCACAGAAAAATTATCAGAACGTGCAGGGTGCTCTTTTGAACCTGAAATTAATTGAAAATCTTAGTTTTTTATACCTAAGTACCTTTCGATGACGGAAGTACTGCTCCAGGCACCGTGTCTATTTATGCACGTGATATCACTATCGACTAGTAATGTAGCAGAGGTCCTGCGGAAGGTATGGTCAGTATACATGTCTAAGTCGGGAAGTTGAAGATACGGCGCAATACTTGTCCAAGTATATTTTTCCCACGACTTCTACGGTACATATTTTCTTCTTTTATTGTGGCTACTCATTGTTCGCTACAAAGCAGCGTATTTTCTATTCAACTCCAAGCCAGAGGTTTTTTCATCATTAATCACTGTAAACAATACCTTTTGTTGGTTCTGGTCTTTGGAAGCCTAATTACAACAACAGATCCTCTGTCTTCTAAATCATCTATTTAAATATTTACTAGTTCCTTCCTTCGACAAGCTTCAATAATTCCACATAAAAGGATAACCTACAATTTAAAAACGTCGATATTGTAGAAGCCAAAATGTAAACTTTTTTCAGTAATAAGACCTTTCATTTTTTTTTATTTAACACATAATGTGTTATCGTATTATCCTCTTTGCCAGATAATTAAGGGTGCGTTAAACGAAACTGCTTCAAATTTTCTTAATCTTTGACCACTAAACACTAAAACGCACGAATTATTATTTATTTATTCCTTTAACAAGTTGACTTTATCCCGAAACTGATTTTAAAATTTCAGAATTGATTGCATAAAATGTTGTCAAAAAATTAATATACATATGTAGTAATTTGTTCTATTCTTTGTCTAAGAAATAAATGGTTTATTTAATTTCCTTCAATTCTTTAGAACAACTATGGTTAATATCACAATTTCAAAATTTGAGCTTTATCTTTATCAAAACGTTGATAGCATAAACTGAACAAAGTTATTAAATAAACTTTTGCCGAGAAGCGCAGCTCGACATGCATATAGTATTTGATCAGTTTCCAAAGCAATTTCTATGTAAATGAGTTTTTTATTGTTATAAAATTATTAATATCGAACACAAAATCACTGAAGTAAAGCCGCCAGTTTTTATTTATTATAGCCACCTGAAACTAAAAGCTAATGTTTCGATTTGAATTAATTTTTAACAAAAGGAATTCATTTTGTTATTATTTTGTGAAGGAATATTTTTGAACACCTTTGATAAAAATTACACATGTAACTAGGATATTATTTTCTAGTGTTTGTACAAACAGTGAGTTAGTTTTCGAAATGGATAGTGTACGTTTTTGAACAGAAGCAAAATAGAATGAACTGTGGTAGATTCCCCAAGTTAAGTAATTTTACATAACCATTAGAGTATTAATCTGGTGTTCTAATTTAAGCTTTAATTTTAATACTTGTTATGGTTTAGAGACAACATTATTTTTATTGCACATTTCAAATTTACAAGTGTCTAATGAAATTAAATGCACTATATATTCATTTCACTATGTCATCGACATACGCTAACGCAATATAGTCCACATGTCTCACCATGTGTTGATATGTATTTGAGTTACACTCATTATATTAAGAGAGGGAATATGTGGGGAATGTTAAATGACATACAGACATATGCGTACCCATCATTTTCTGGCATAAATTGTGATAATCGTTATGACACGTAATAAATTTTCTTTCGTCACAATAGCGCGTTAAGCTAATTCATTGTTATACATCAAAAATATTACACCAAAAATTCTTAAGTTACTACTCCCAGTTTCGTATTGTTTAGTGATTAGAATAATTGTAATTTTTAACACTATTCAGCAATAGTTTAGTTAAATTTATATTTTGGTTAGTAGTTTAACTTTCACAAGTATTTTCTTAAAGATAAAAGTATTTATCTAACAGACGATGACCATTACGGGTTTGAACTTAAATTTATTTTGATTTTTGTATCAATACAAAACCAACCACATGACATTTATTATATCAATAGAAAAATAAATAATCGAATTGTATCTATTACCAATTTTGATGAATTTAATCAATAATAAAACAGTAACGCTGTGCTTTAATTATATGTGTAAAGAATTTAATTGGCGCAGTCTGTAGGATATCGCATTTGTTAAACAAAAGATGCGTTAAGCAACAATTCTCACGACTTGGAATTATAAATTCCTTACGCGTTATTCATAGAATGAAGAACTAACACCCCCTTGACCTTGAAGTATTTGCATTGCGACAAACTTGAAGAGCTTCCCGAAGGAAGTTCAAGAGAAACTGACATCGAGTTAGGCCCGAAAAGCTCCTTCAGCAGCGAAAACTCGAAAATAACCCAAGTGGAAGAGTCGACGTCACACAACGGCGAACGTTTCTGATACCTTTTTCCTTTTTCTTATTATTTTTTGAAACCTGCACAAAAATCATTTTGTTTTTCTCAAAGGTTATGTACAAAGTAGTGAATAACAGTTCGAATGACGAATTAGGTTCGTTAATTAAACATTTTTAAATTTCAGTTATCTTGCAGACACAAAAAAGCAAAAAGACCTAATACTAATAACACCAATGACGATCAAGACACGTGAAGAAATCTTTCTGTCATCATGAGAACACATGTGAATTTTGCTTTAAAAACTTTTCTTCATACCTATTTGAAAAATTTCTATTATACGCAAAATTTCACGCCCACCTCATACACTATAATAAACAAATAACCTCAAACAGTAATAATAATCGACTAAACTTTATTAACCAACCAAAACAGGTACCACTTCAACATTTTCCGCCCTCATAATGTCCCCATGTTTCAAATAATTACGCCAGACAGCAACCCTATCAGTCACAACAACCACATTTTTTTCATAAAGGTTAACCAGATTAATTTAATAACTAATAAACCAAATCCGCCAGAACAGAATTCTAGCAAATTTTCAGGCATTTTCACCACCAAAAAATGCATTTAGACCAACTGGTCAGGTTTCAACGGAAAAACTAATACCGATGTCCACCACTTCTAGAGTCTCTACTATTAAACATGCAATCGTAAATTATTTTCTTCAAAATAATCTCTAAACACTTGCAAATAATGAACGAACATTGTGACCAATGTGTAGAACCCAGTCAAGATACTTATTCCTTAAATTTTCTTAATGATCTTTACACTTATCGCATTTTGATATTATAAACAAATAAGTAAATTTTCACTTGGGCAACTCTTCTCTTATCAACAGACGTAGCTTCCGAAGTAAACACTGTCAAAACTACAGTGCAATACCATATTATGTTACTATCAAATCACGAATTTAAAAATCTTCTTTCTTAGATACAAAATGATTTTTGTCATCCATATGCCTATTTTTAACCATAGAAGCTTCAGATCTATATAGCCTGTATCCTATTTCTCAAGGAAACTCCACCATAATACCTCAAAAACTATACCCAATACTCAACACTCAGAACCATCAATTTATAGAGAATAAATATGAATCCACAGAAGATTTACACCTTAGCGACGTTGAATTAGTATCTAATCACCATCTGTATTTATTACCTCATCTACGTATCTATGAACAAGTCAGCAACAATCATCTCTTGATTACTGTTGGAAATGTATCCGTGAACTTAAAGAAGATCTGTAGCAATTCACGATTCACAGTACATCCAACCCTGATCACCAATATCAGATCAATAACGAGAAATTGAAGTTTATAAATGAGAAAGATTATCCTGAAATGCGATCTGCTCTTTTTATCAGATGTCAACGCCATAACTATTATATTGCATTGAACATCATGTATTTGCAACCAGTCGCCTGGATGAAATTAACAAAATCCAAAACGAAACTGACAGTTTGAATGCTGCTATCATCAAATTAATATGATATTCAAATAATTTCATATGTTGCTGCTTCTATTTCTGTTCTTACTATCGCCTCCGTAAGGATAATGCTGATCTTCTGATATAAACGCCAACGCAAGAGAAGATTGCCCCAGGAAAATAATCCGTTGGTCCTATTTTCCGACTTAAGGAGGGAGGCGTTATATTATGCTAGGAGGCATCCCAAAGTCCACAAGATTTGTTAAGGCTGCATGACCTTTGTTATCAATATAAATTAAATAATCGAATCACACCTTATATATTAGACCAATTTTCACGTTCTAATCAGTTATAATATAAGTACAAGTTAGTGCTTCTGAATAAATTTCTTAATAAGACTGTGTAAACAGTTTAATTCACGTGGTGAAGTGCCTACTACTTTTTACGTTAACATTTGAGTATCTCAAAAAATGAACGAAACTCGAAAAATATAATCTAAGTAAGATTCTTATCCCATAAACGTGATCGTTTACAGAATGTGATACTAAAAATAATAATAATAGACAGTGATGCTATGTCTTTAAAAATACAAAAGATTTAATAGCACTATGTGACACTGCAATAACTTGTACAAAATTTAAGTATTTTCTTTATTTATGTTCTGTCTTCATTAATTTTTACTATTAAACTTATTACCATAATTACATTTAGATAGGTACTTAAGTATAAATGTATTATGTGAATCGCAAATAAATGATACTTAGCCGATTGTTTGAACCTGCCTGCACGGTCCTGGTGAAAAGTGAGTGGCAGCTAGTGTAAGTCGTAAATTTATGCAGCGTTGGTTTATTACAACGCCTGGGGCATTGTACTTGTTTTGAAGGGAATGTTACGTTTCAGTCTCCCTTTGGGAATATCAAGCATTTGTCATATCCTGCCAAAGAAGTAATATATCTAGTAACATTAGCACAATTTTCAGCACCACTTAGTATTAGGTAAAAATCTACCACATCAATTTATTAAAAAGAAATAGCAAGAAAAGTTTTAAATTTGTTGATTGAATCAATAAAATAGATTGCTTCTTTTTTTTAACGTCTTGTATAAGGAATTCTAGAAAATGCTGATGCACGTACAAACCACAATATGTCCTGTAATATTTTATACATTTTGGATAGGATTTATTCAGCAAAATTTTAAGATAACATAATCCAGTTTTTGGAGAGGATAAGCAAAAAAAGAGATTACTGATAAAAGCTTTGCAAGATTTTAGAGCAATTTATCTCTAAGTTAAATTGTAAAATGGTCGTTTACAATTTTTATTTTGTTCCAAAAACATCAGGTAAAAACAGAAATGAATATACCACAAGAACAGAAGCGTGTCATTTTAGAAAATTTAAGTGGGATTTACTTGCCGAAATTTTAAGATGAAGTTATCAAATTACTGCTAGGGCTGATCAAACAAATTTTCGTTAGTATTTTATCATTTACAGAATATTTCTAAAAGACACCTAAAATGAAGTTAGTCATTCGTCAAATTGACCCCCATTACAATATTTTACCATCTACTCTCGGGAATTAAAAATTTCTCTAAAGTTATTTAGAAAGAACTTTTGGCAATAATGTTGTATTTTGAACTTCATATTTCAAGAAACGTATATTTAACAAATTTTAACAATATATTGCAACCATTAAATCAAAGATATTAATAAAAATAAAAAAATTGTTGGCATGTCAATTGTAAGAGAACCTGTATAATTTGTTTTTGCAAATTTTATTTTTTTGTGATAATTCGTATACGTATCATTAAAACTATGGATATATTATTAAACCACACATAAAAGAACATAACACGTTATATATAATTTTCAAACTTAATACAACAGTTAAACAAAATTTTAATATCGTCATGAAAGTCTTATAAGGAGTGAACAGACGAATTCAGGTGAACAATGTTTATAATTATATTAAAAAGTGTAAACATTGCATAGAAACCGATTTTAAGTATCTTAGTTTCTAAATTACATTATAAAATGTCCTTGCAAAATTTTTATTTTTTTCCTATGTGTGTAATGTTTAAAATAGAGATGAATTAATAAATCACATCTCTAGAAGCCCTAAGATTTTGAACATTATGAATAAAAAATTTGAAATGAGTCATCAAATTTTCGATAAAGATGAGTAAATGATTTTGTTGGTTATCGTTTTATCACATATAGGATATTCTTAAAATACTTCAGACAATAAACGACAGATAGGCGGAAACGGTATACCTCCTTTTCATATTTTAGGATCTGTGAAACCATTCGCCAAATGGACCCTATTACATTTTTCCTTAGCTCACGCTCGGAAAGCAAAAGCAACGAGTGACAAGCTTCAAACACTGCTTCAATCGTAAGACTTTTAAAAACACTACAAACATCAAATTAATTTAAATTGCAATAAATATATCGCATTCAATGACTGGACCCATGAGTGCGAAAATAAATCAGTGTACATCGAGTAATCAGTTCTCGATTTTTTAGTTTCTAACATTATGTTTCAGATAAATGATAAATCGCGTCTGTTTGTGTCAACTTCATAAAAATGTTGCAAGAAAAAAGGACAGAGTAATTATCTGGCTCCTTCACTGCTTCACTCTAACGATAATAATAAATATCTTTGGACACAATTTTTGTTACAAGTACGAAAATGACATTTAAAGTATACAACTGAAATAATTTTTCAGAGTGTTGAATAAAAGTTAAAAAAGTATACAAATTAATACATAGGTACGTGCATGAATTCTTTTACTTACACTATAGCATTACATTTACTATCGACAGCAGTGACAAAAATGTCCTCTATGCTAGTTAGCTGTCTTGAGAATGAAGGACAAGAAAGACAGTTCTGATTATTTAGCGCCAAGTAGAAAACGATTTTTGTTGACCACAGTAAAACGAATAACGACAATTATGTTATCAAAAGTATGTGAATACTAAAACTCGAAAACAAATATTCAAAATTTTGTGTATTCGTACCTAGTTGGAGCTGTATTTCTGAACAATTACGTACATTTATTAGCGCATTAAATAATGCGTTTATTCCACTCTATTACACTGTTATCCCATTGTAATGGCCACTGTCACAAACATCATAGATTATGTACAAAACAATTAATCTCTACTTAATTGCCTAAACAAATATTTTACACCCGAGTAATTCAAGGGAAAATTTATTTTAAAATGCTTTTACAGGATTCCCACATATGTAAGGGTAAAGGAGCAAAGTGATGCCCCAGTGCTGGCAGGACCCCCCCAGACCATGCTTTCCAGATGCCCAGCGTTCACCCGCCATGTAATAGGATTCCTGGTGTTAGTGTTGTTAACCACAAACGTTCGATCAGGACCCCGTTATAGTTCTCGGATAGTGGACATTCAATCAGGAGCTATTCGCGGAATAATTCTTGAACTAAATTCTCGTCATTTGGAACCCGTGGAAGTGTTTCGAGGCGTTCCTTACGCCGCTCCTCCTGTTGGTCCACTAAGATTCAGTCCGCCACAACCGCCGCTTTCTTGGCCTGGGACTAGATTAGCGGATACCTTCGGTTCGGTGTGCCCGCAGAAGTTGCCGGATATAACAAACAGAACAGCAGCCCTGCAGACGATGCCCAAAGGCAGATATCAGTATCTCAAGAAATTGGTTCCATTGTTGGTGAACCAGTCGGAAGATTGCCTGTTTCTTAACATCTACGTCCCTGGAAGTGGTAAGTCTACATTTTTTACAAGAATAAGATTGGTATCTATTTAAACAACTAAATTTTCGGAGAATCAACTTAGTATATCGACTACAATGTTGTTGCAGTTCGAGATCTCTTTATTTGCCTTAAATGTGTAGGTACAAATGTAAGGAATTAGATCTAAAATTTGTCTACACCAAGTTTCAGAAAAATACAAAGTGATTATTTTATCTGTTGACGCCAGGATAAGTCCGAATAGGCAACACACTTTACTTTCCATAAACGACTTCGTCTTAAATTTTTTATTAATATAATAAATAACGTGTAGATGGTAATGACTGCGCCAAAATTATGACAAATTAATGCCAACAGCCAAATTATTTTCAACTTTTGGTAAGAGTGCTTTTGAATTCCGAAAAAACCGATATGTTTAACTTTGGGAAAGTGTGATGTAAATTTCGATGCTGCCGTTCGTCTACATGCCAGGCGATACAATTTCTTCTAACTAAGCAATCAGAAGACTCGAAAAAAAAATAAAGAGAAGTTGATCAATTTAAGAAAACTAAAGTTAGACGTCCTATAGTGACAACGTAAGAAAATGAAGCTGTCCTGATTGAAATTATAGATGATAATCCTCACGTGACTCACCAGCAGATCACATGACAAATGCAGATTAATTAGAGTTCGGTTTTTAACATCCTGGGGGCAAACCGATTTCACCCATGCCATTTCAGCCCTTCCAATTCAACTTGAAGATCATTTGCGCGGAAAGGATTATGATGTCGTACAGATATTTATATAACACCCGAAGAAGCATAAGACAGACAATTTGAGTACTTATTATAGGATACCTATTTACTTATTTTATTTTATTTATATTCGCTTGAGGATCGACTAAATTAGGTTCTATTTTCTTTAAATTTTGCCGTTATTAGTTGCTTGACGTCTTTGTTGTCATTATGACATAATGTCATTTTTATGTTGTTGCATTTACTAACTAATTGTTAATTTACAAAGATTAATGTATTGATCAAAGTTGCTTATGGTATATATAATGTGTTGCCTACACGAAAATATTCAGGCTTGAACAGATAAAATAAACACCCTGTACTTCTAAGGTTATTGCCAAGAATTCAGATATTACTTAGCTGTGTCATTCCTTTTAATTATTATTGTTATGATATTATCACATCAGCTGACATAAAATAAACATCCTTTTGGAAAAGTCTAAGATACTTAGTTAAGAAAGGAAAAAAAAACCTAACAAAATGAATACGTTATTAAAAAATTGCGTTACAATTTGTTTGAAAATTTTACGAGTTCTGCCATAAATTGTTTCCGGCGCACAAAAAATAGTTTGGCCTTAAACATGGGCGTCCATAGAAACCTTCCTCAGAGAGGTTCCACCCTTAAAATCGGGTGTCTCAGCTAAAACTCCGCAACCTAATATCTTAGTGATGATGATAATAATAATAAAGCAAACTAATTCTTACTAACTAAAAACAACAAATACGTGTGTAAATTATTGCACAATATGATTAGGTAATGGAATACTACATAAATAATAATAGCAACGGTAAATTTATTTACTTTTAGAAGAAAAAAGAAAAGGAGGAAAAGACAAAGTAATATTAAAGTTAGTATGGCCTAAATTTTGATTTTATAAATTTGTGATTTTATGATTATATTGATAGAGATATTGAACCTCTATAAACGCCATTGTTTTCAGCTTGAAAGGGGAAGCTTAATTTAATATGCTGCCAATAGGCCCTGTATTTTTTAAATTGCAACATACACTTTTTAACAGATTTTGAGGTACCGTTAAATTACGCTTATAATGATATATAATACTTGCATATTTATTTAATTTTGAGTTGATAAAAAAGTTAAATTTATAAACATAAAATAATGAAAGCTGAGTGAAATAAAGAACACGAGTTACTGCGACATTGTTAATCTTATAGGTATATTGAGTACAGTTAACTTTTCTCATAAAGATCATAATAGAGCACTTCATGCTGTTTAGATACAGCAAGTTGGCACCAAGTATGAGAGATTAAATCATTCTGTTAGATAAGTCATCTATAATATTTATTTGCCAAAAATTTTCAAATTGTCAATACAAATGAGATTTAATGGCTGCAGGTAAATCATTGATAAATATTAGGAAAAGGAGAGGAAACCAAATTAGAGCCCTGCGGGTCTCTTGACTTAGGTACTGTTAAGGTTCATTCACAATGACAAAATTAGTAATTAGAATTAGTATTAGAATTAAGCTCAGAAAATCTCCAAAAACGTACATTCACAATGATAAAATTAATAAACTAATTTTTGTAACGCCCTCTATGATACAAATATCGCAGCACGCAGATTCTCTATCGCATTCTGTATTTTTGGTTGTTGGCTTTACTTACCCACCATCTTCGTTGTTTTTTGCGTATAGTAAGTAATTAATCTGACAACACTGCCACAGCAAGTCGTAATGTTTTGCGTCTTGAAACCATTATTGACAATTGACTCTTTCCCGAGTTTTTTCAATTTTATTGTAGGTTAGGACACTGTAGTTAACATTCGTGCGCAGGCGCAAAATTAAAATTAATACAGAAATTAACGCAAAAGTTTGGAGCTTGCAAGCTTCTGCGTTAATTGCTAAGAGTAATTACTAATTTATTTCATTGTGAATGTTTGTATGATATTTCACCTTGCAAGGTTTTGAGCTTAATTCTAATGCTAATTCTACAGTAACGGTCGTTTCTACGGAACCACTCGATAAAAAGTCAAGTTGGTAGCCCTGTCTCCTAGTACTTTACGCCGAACGCGGTTGGTAGCGCGTTGACGTTTAACCACCGTTTGACGCACGGCGCATGTTGACAAGCGCTTTAACTCACAGCGGTTCTATTTAAAGCATTTTACGTTTCTACGAAAAAAGCAAAATGGATAATCAAGAAAAGCCACGGAGGACATTGTTATCGCAAAAATTAAAGACTGCGGCAATAAGATGTTACCGGGAAATCGAAAGTCTGTGTCCCACAGCTTCCAGAAGAGAACTGGAAACAAAAGTTGGGAACATATTTTCGGTAGAGTAGTTGCATTTTAAGAGTTTTTTTCAATTCAAACACGACAAAATCCACTTCACACTACTTTTATACGCCCTGTGTCACTTACTTCTCACCCACTACTTTGTATTAATCTCCTTCCTCCTCCTTTGTAGTGTTCCCGAACCCAAATCCGTAAATTAATACGGCAAGACCGATCCGGAGTCCCACCAGAAAATGCCTTAACCGGCAGAAAAAAGAAATGTGCTTTCTTTTCTGATTGCGTATTTCAAGAGGAGCTAAGCCAAGAAATATACGCGAGAAATAGGAGAAACGAATATTTCACTGCAACGGACATGTTCAAATTTGCTACCACAAACTTAGAGTTCACTGCAAGTCTTAGCACTCTTAAAAGAATATTACGTTCAATGGGATATAAATACAAAAAAGTAAATAATCGCAAAATTATAATCGAAAGTCCACGGCTTCAGTCATTAAAATTAAAATTTTTACGAAGATATTTACAGTTAGCCGAAGAAAATGTAAGTTTTGTTTTTTTGGATGAGACGTGGCTTAACCAAAATGGTTCTCCTGTGAGAAGGTGGGTGCTTGAGAGTGACAGAAGAGGAATGCCTGAGAAAGTGTGCATGAGTGAAGGAAAGCGTTTTACAGTGCTTCATGCTGGTGGGAATTTCGGTTTCCTAGAGGGCTGCGAATTGTTTTTGGACAGCAATATCGATAGCAGGGATTACCATAAAACCATGACGGGTGAGGTGTTTAAGAAATGGACTATTGAACAATTAATTCCGAGTGTTGCATTGATTAGTGGCAAAGTGGTGGTAGTCATGGATAATGCTCCGTATCACTCGATGCACGCTGAAGATAGTCCAAAGTTCTCTTGGAAAAAAGCAAAATTAGAAGTTTGGGTCCATAAAAACAAAATTCCCTTTGGTAATAACTTGACAAAAAAACAACTATTTGAAGTAGTTAAACCTCACCTTCCTTCCTGCAAAAAATATGTAATCGATGAACTGCTGTCTAAAAATGGCATAGATGTGTTGAGACTACCCCCTTACCATTGTCAGTACAATCCGATTGAAATGGTTTGGGGGTTCTGCAAGACATATTTTAACAAGCACATTCTAGCGCAGCCTTCCACGAAATCGAAAGTACCTGATTTGTGGCATGAAGCACTATCAAAGTACACTCCTGAAATGTGGATGAACAGTGTGAATCATTGTGAACGATTGATTAGGGATGATTGGAAGCGATTAATGGGAAATGAAAGTGTGCGAGATATTCCACCCATAATTATATCACTTGCAGATTCTGATGAAGAATCAATTGCAAGTTTTACATCGGAATCTGCAATAGAAATAGTACAAGACAATGATCAGAATGAAAGGATGGATGAATCTAGTGAGGATGAACGAATGGAAATATTTGAAGTACAATTAAGCAATGAGTGTGAAGTGCAAGGGTCTGAAAGTTGTAGTACGGCAGAAATTCTCACAGTAGAACTTGTTGATTAACCATGCTTTTTTTTCCGTGGACATTTGAAATTTAAAACAGGAATCTTTTCTAACAATCTTTAATCTTTTGTTTAATAAATATTATTGTGTTTTCAATCATTGGTTTACAACACTCTTAGACCAGATTAAATAATATTGGTGTTCCTTGAATAACTACTAGACAAATAATTACTTTTTATTTTGATATTCCCAATATCCCAATACATATCACTATTTTAAGTCCTATCATAACGTGTTTCCTAATTTATAATAGTATTGCTTCTAGTGTACTCCTCATTTTTTATACTGATTTCTGAACTGCCAGTGTGCAGAATTAGTTACTGTCATTATTTACTTAAGGTACATCCTATACGGTTTATATACATCTATATTTAGAAGTTTTTTTTTAAGTTTGATTAATATATTATTGTTTGGTGTTTCATTTATAGGTGAATGTTTTGGAAATAAATCATACATTATT